TTGGGGCCCTCAGTTGGGTGAATACACGGCCACCCCCATATTATAGGCATTGTATATTTTAAACAAAAGGATACTTTGTTTGATCTTGGTTTGGTTTTTAGGTATAATGTGTGCGGCGTATAGTCCGAAAAGTTTGTGCGTGTGTGTGAGAGTGAGTGTTTGTGTGTGTGGTGAGTGAGTGTGTGGAACACATGGGAGTGTTAATGTGTATGAATAGTTATGTTTATGTGAATCTGTTTGTGTGAATCTGTTTGTGAGCGAGTGCTTGTGTGAATCTGTTTGTGAGCGAGTGTTTGTGTGAATCTGTTTGTGAGCGAGTGTTTGTGTGAATGTGTTTGTGAGCGAGTGTTTGTGTGAATGTGTTTGTGAGCGAGTGTTTGTGTGAATCTGTTTGTGAGCGAGTGTTTATGTGAATCTGTGCGTGAGCGAGTGTTTGTGTGAATGTGTTTGTGGCAATTGATAATTAAAACAAGTTTATTGACCCTTCTGTTAATATTTACACATTTAAAGAGAGATTTAAAAAACAGTAACGCTAAAATAAAAGATAATAATTGAAATAAAAATAAATATTTTCAATTAGTTGCAATTAGATAGCATAGTTCCATGCTCCTCCCCGCGCATGTTGATGGTGGCGAAGCCTAAGCTCATGAATCCTATCCGCTCAGTAAGCCTCTGGCCACCACGAGGCGTTTGTAGATGGGGGAGGCAGAGTCAAGTCAATATTAAAAAATAAATTATGCCATTAAAATCTACATGTATTTTTTTACGTAACGTAAACATTTTCATAAAATAGTAACAACGAGGACTCATAGAGGGCGCAACTTTGCATAGATGCTAAGGGTGAATACTTTGAGAAACTCTGAAAATTTGAAATTTGCAGCTTCAATAAGAATAAGGGACAACAAAAACTTTTGGAGTGATTCTTTAATTCTTAAAACACACACAAGCCTTTATTAAGACATTCCGTCTTATACAGACAATTATCCTGTTAGAAATGGATCCAAAAAGAAATGAGAAGCAGGGGGGAAAAATGAATCCTCGCTCAGAAATGAGAAAAAGAAGAAAAGGAAAGAATATCTGTGTACAAAAGTTGAGCTTAATTGTTAAAAGCATGAAAAATCATTTGGTCAAAATGGTGTTAGTACATAAATTAAAGGTCGTTACCAAGATTTATGAGTTAGTTCAAGGTTATGGAGCGCGTTGAGATCTACTGTAGAGAGTGTGTTGATGTTTCCAGGAAATCAATTGGGAGCTTGAAGTCTGTTTCTACAAATACATAGATATCATTATATTTTTTAATGTGTTTAGCGTATTCACGCAATTTTGGCCTTAAATACCCATTTCTTGGTTTCTCAAGAAGCCTCTGAGACCAAAATATTTTTGGTCGCAGTGGTACAGCCTGCTCCACGCTGCGAGCGCCAACAGCGCGAAACGCGTTCGTGGATGGCTTTTCTTGATTTATCAGGAAAATGGGTTGGCCAAATATCAGGGAACAGGCTAAATCAATGTTTAGTTGATTTCTGTTCCACTAGATGGCGCTCTACCATCTAAAAAGCACATGTGCTCCTGGTCAGAATATGCCTTCTTTATTTTTATAGATATCCTTGTTCAAGAAAATACATTTAATCCTACCGGCTAGGAGTGAATGCAGGGACCTAGATTGACCCGCGCGATGGATAAATGGACACAACCGAAACTGCCAACTTGGTTGAAATTTTCAGCACCAAGATAGGATTAGAAGGAATATCAACGCCATCAGATTCATCTTATACCATTCAACATAAAATAATATTGTAACGTAGAAAATTAGAGAGACAAACTTCACGATGACACTGCAATTTATTTAAGGAAAGCACCACCTAATTTACAAAATACAAGAGAAGCAATGAGGAAAGTCTCCAGAGTAGCAAAATATAAATAATATAAATAACAAAATTGATAATCTGTATATAAAATATAATTAAAATACTTTGCTACAATATTTAAATAGGCATATAACAACAATAAAAAGCTTTATTAAGATATTTTGGTCTTATAAAAGAACTCTTGGCTAAAGGAATATCAGCTAAACTTCGAGATAACAAGTTGATTGTTGGAAGTACTGTTTACCAAGTGATAAATGATAATATCATGAATTCAGAAGGAACTGAGATATAGCAAACACACAGAAATGGACTGGAAGGATCACATGATATCTCTTTTTACAGGCAAGAAAATATCATCATCAACCACATATAGCTAATAGGAATGGAAAACTAAACAACTTGATCGAACAACTATTAAAACTTGGTCACAATTATGCAAAAATTATGTATTTGGAATATCAATGGTTTCTTTAGAATAAATTCCGTTCCCCTTTCATTGATTATGTAAATCAGTTTTAAATATTTGCTATAACGGAAATTTGGTGCCAATTTGTTCTAAAACTCGAGATTGAGGATTTTCAGGTTTACCAATCACTTGCTAGAAAAACCTTGGGTCAGGGAAGAAGCTCTAAAGACATCATTGTAGGAATTTATAACAAAAATAAACACACACCGAACAATGTTGAAGAGAAAACTAATTGGATTTCGGTTACTTAAAATGAAACCAAACTTAGATTCATTGCTGACTTGTATAACTTTTACGTATCTACCTCCTAACGAACTCCAACTAGAGAATATATATATTACGATCAAGATAAACAATGGACTGGAATATATTTTATACGGTGAACTAAACATTCGCACCAACCACCTTGGAGACTTTCTTAACCTGCTGGATATCCCAACTTTATTGTCGCATTTCCTCAAGAGATATAATAACATCTACCCATGTTAATATTCTAGTTCCCCAGCAACCCCTTTCCTGCTACTACTCCCTTGACACATTGTTAATAGCATTGCTAATTATTGTAACTATTGTTCCTGTATATACCCTCTTCTACGTGGAGAAGTTGTATAAGACCAAAAGGTCATAACAGGGACTTTTGTTGTTGTCACTACTGTTATTCTTGTATGTACCCTACATTGCTGTGCTTGGAGAATCCGTGTAAGACTAAATTGTCTTAATAAAGCTTTTTGTTGTTGTTGATATTTTGGTCTTATAAATATTCAACAATTAGAAAAGGGAATATACAGGAATATAACAGTAATAGTAACAATAATCAGCAATGTTATTTATAATGTATCAAATAGGGGGGATGTAGCAACATATATTCTGAATATAGAGCAATCCATAATATCTATATTTTATGGTTTATTTTGGATTTAATAAGAGTTTTTATTCATCATATTTCGATGGACCAATCGTCCATCTTTTACGAGATTCACCCGAAGCGCGCGACCTGCTGTGTGCTTCAAAACAACAACAAAAATTGGTCGATCGAAAAATATTTGATAAATATTCGGTTCCAAAATCACTTTATTAGGTACCGCTCAAAAAGAGAAACCTAGTTGCAACAATGACTAATATGTAAAGGTTATTCACATATTAAACATTGTTAACGCGGGATACGATCCCGGTTCATGGCTGTCGGGAATCGAGGGTGTTACCCACTCGTCCACCGACTTCTTTTTTTTATGTTTGATAAATATAAATCTTATTAAATCCAAAATAAATATCATTTTTAAAACAACATATACACACACACAAAAGCCTTTATTAATACACACAGGTCTTACAGAGGATTCTCCTTGGGGTTACAAGATGGAGAAACCTATGAAAGTGGGAAATAAAAGTGGAGAAAGATTATATACATATGGTAAATATATACAGATTATAAGAAAAAAATAAAAATAAAAAATATAAGAAAGAAAAAAAATTGGGAAATATGGATGGGAGATTAAAACAACATATATGAATACACAAAGAAAGCTACAAAGCACACCGTTTTAATTCACATTTTGAAATTAAAAAATCTTTCAACATTTCTCTCTCCCTCACTAGTTACCACGTTTATAAAAGAAGGGCTGACAATGCATTTTTGTAACACACCAGAATACAATAAATCTAATGACTTCTGGAACAAGCAACATCCTTGTACCGAAGACTCTGCAAGGTCTACATCCGTATTACAATAAATTAAGCTCGATGATCTCAAAATTAATCACTCACTTTCCTATTCTCTTACCGTACAATCGTCATTTGGTAACAATGGAATGCACTGACCATGGAATTCCATTGGAAAGGTAAATGGTTATAATGGCCTTGGAACCCTAAATGATCCATAGCTTTGGACGAAAAACATCATGTTTCTTCTTTGTTGAAAGGTGTTCTAAGATTTATTTGATCATTATTTTTATTAATTTATTGGTAAATCACTTATAACCCATTTTAAAAATAGAGCAATCCAGAAATAAATCTTTAATTAAAAAGGCATATATTGGATCAAAATATAATTTATTTTACCAATATTTTGATCCAATATATGCCTTTTTAATTAAATATAACCCTTTATTATCATTGTTTTTAATATGTATTAGATGCAGTTTTGATAGATATTTGATTAAGAAATTTATTCTTTTTTAGCATTTGAATAATACAGGTTGTTGGAATGTATTGGCTTTGTCTAAAAACTAACGATATAGAGTGGTAAAATATTCCTAAAGACTTTATAAAATTGAGAAAGGATTGTATTCATGAGAAAAACGAAGTTTACCTTAAAATAATAGTTGTTTTAAAATGATTTTATTGGCGATTAAATTGACGAAACCGATGGGAGGGTTCACCACTGATGAACCAAGCCTTCCCAATATTTTTTCATTGCAGTAAGGACAGTATAAGTTTGATTTATTTGTGAAAAAAAAAATTTCGCGTCTTAATGTCTTCCTTCATTTTATATAGATGGCGCGTTATTACTTTGTATATATTAAAAATTCATTAGACAAAATTTGAAATAAAATAAAGAAATTAGTTAATTTACGACCATTCAGAAATTTAAAATATTTTAAATGTGCATTATCATCTGGATTGAGAAAGTGTAGAGGATTTCATGCAAGTATTTCTATGTGATATGGTTAGCTGAAATAGCTCGGTTGGGAGAGCGTTAGCTTCTGAAGATCTAAAGGTCCCTGGTTCGATCCCAGTTTTTGACATATTTTTCTATGTGACCAAGAACTATATTTAAAATTGATACCAAAAATTGAAAGGAGAAATATAGATAGTAGTCCATTTGACACAGCAAACTTACTAAACAAAGTATCGGCATATTACAAGGGCAAAGCCCTGGCAGCAATTGGTGCCGTATGGGAGGTCTTGACAAAATCTATAGTCCATTCCAGACCAAATTTTTAGGAACGCCAGTCATTCCTTACGCCAGAAAAACGGATGCCTTATGCTCAAAACTGGGCAACTCTGTGCTTCACTTCCATCAATAATTGACAATATGACCCAGAATAAGTATATTGCTACGGCGTTTTATGGTTTCCACAAGTCCATATCTCAGAAGAAGGCCAAGTGATACTCACTCCTCACTTTCTTACTGCTACTCTTTTTGTGTTGATTTCTTGCTTCCCTCTTTCTTCTTCTTCTTCTTATTTTTTTTTTCTTTTACTAGTTTTTTTTTCTTTCTCTTTTTACTCTGTATATATCGTTATTTCCTTTGTCTCACTGCTTTGTTCTTATGCATACCTCTGGTGAATCCTGTATAGGGTCAATGACCCTAAATAAAGGCTTTTTTGTTGTTGTTGTTGTTGAAAAACGGATGCGCCTATTTTCTTCGTTTGAAAGGAAATATACAAATTCTATTCCTTAGTCTATTCCCAACCACCACAGCAATCTAGATGTCTGAAAATTTGTACATTTGCAATGCTAGTAGGATTGAACTCGTCTATAAATACCAGACTTTTACGTGGTCAGGAAATATATTGAAAATTGATAGCAAAATTTGACCACTCCGTCAACCTAGAGGTCTCAAATTCTGTCAATTTTCATTGTTATTAGGTTTGATTAAGTTTATCAAATTTCATAATTCTATGTGAACCGTTAGTATATTAAAATTGATCACAAAATTTAAAAGAAAATATAGAAATTAGTTCATTCCCGACCACAAAGAAAACTGAAATTTAGTTAAATTGCATTGTCATCGGGTTTGAATAAGTGTGTGTTCCAATTTTCAGACTTCTATGTGTTCTGAAAGTATATTAAAAACTGATCCCAAGCTTTGTGGAAAGACAGATATGGAAGCAAGTTAAATGAAAGCTTTTTAAAAAATTGTAATGATTATTATTAATATTATTTTTTTTTTGCAATGCCTTTCTTCTGATATATATTGTAACAAAGTATTTATAATTATTTATAATACAATATAATGCGGCTTATGATTGTAGAACGAAGTTTGACAACTATACCGCAAATGTTTATTTTGAACGAAAAATCGAAATTTATTTTAAGGAGAAATAACGATTATTTATAATCTTAGGAATGAAGTATGAAAGGATGAATTGTGAAGAGTAATGATAAATGGAAAAATAAAGTGTCCAGGGATATTTATTATATTAATAACAATGTATCAATTTTGATATTTATATTTTGCTACTCTGTAAACCACTCTCATTGTCTATATTTTTGTTTATCATTTATAGTTTGTTCTTACCTTAAATAAATTGCTATGTAAAAGTGTAATCCCGGATAGTTGACGCTCTGCGCTCCAGGAACCTTGGTTATAAATATATATCTCTGTGTCCTCCCGAAGTTTGTCTTCCCTAATTTTCCACGTGGCAATATTATTAAATAATTTGATGATATATTTCATAAGAAACACGATTCCAGTTAAAAATAACTTTATTGGAAGCGCAGTTCAAAAAGAGAAACCAAGTTCATCTTATTTAATAATAAAAACATTTCAATTACAATTTTTATTGATAGAAATTTAATTTCTAAAAGATACCTGTGCTGTGTGAGCAGAAGAGCTTAAATTGACTTGTTCCATTATATATATGTTCCATATGTAAATACCTGTTTTCTTTCCTCTCTTCGCTCTCCACTTCTCCCATCCATATTTCCATTTTTTTTTTTTCTTATTTTCCATAGGATTATTCAAATAATAATCTGTATATATTTACCATATGTATATAGTCTTTCTCCATCAATAATTGACAATATGACCCAGAATAAGTATATTGCTACGGCGTTTTATGGTTTCCACAAGTCCATATCTCAGAAGAAGGCCAAGTGATACTCACTCCTCACTTTCTTACTGCTACTCTTTTTGTGTTGATTTCTTGCTTCCCTCTTTCTTATTATTATTATTTTTTTTTTCCTTTTCTTGTTTTTTTTTTTTTTTCTTTCTCTTTTTACTCTGTATATATCGCTATTTCCGTTGTCTCACTGCTTTGTTCTTATGCATACCTCTGGTGAATCCTGTATAGGGTCAGTGACCCTAAATAAAGGCTTTTTTTGTTGTTGTTGTTGTATATAGTCTTTCTCCATTTTTACCCCTTTGTATATTTCCCATTTTCATAGGTTTCTCCGTCTTGTAACCCCAAGGAGAATCCTCTGTAAGACCTGTGTGTCTTAATAAAGGCTTTTGTGTGTTTGAATTTCTAAAAGATTGTCAAAATGTACTGCTCCAACACATCCTTCAAATCAAGGCCCTAGTTGTAAAACAGCAGTTTATTTAGATAGCCACTTCTTGAGTATCACGCTATTGTATTGGTAGAAATAACAAATTTTATAGTCTTAGAAGTTTTATTTATTTGTGGGAATCTGTTGTTTAATTTCTATCTCAAACAAACACTGCCCCGTTGACAATCTGAAGTAAGCAAAGTTCCGAAATAAACACGCTCTTCTTCATTTTACTTCTCCCTCCCCTCATTTTTTCTCTAGAAGGGTTGGAAACTTCTTGTATGTGAACATTTGAAGTTTCCAAAACAATATTTTGGCTGATTATCTCATTGTCATTTTGTGTTCATGTAATCTGCTTTTCTATAATAAATTGTATTTTTTAACAAATGAAAACATTAAGACGCGAATGTTTATTCCACAAATAAATCAAACTTCTGTCCTTAACTGCAATGAAAAAAATATTAGGAGGATTTGGCTCATCAGTGGTGAACCTTCCCAGCGGTTTCGTCACTTTAATCTACCAGAACTCTTCTTTAGAGCTTTAAAACTGTATTGGATCATTCTGCTTATATATGCTAGACTGAAGGGTGGAATCTATATAAGCAGAATGATCCAATACAGTATTAGAGCTCTAAAGAAGCGGTCTGGTAGATTAAATTGGCGAAACTGGGAAGGTTCACCACTGATGAGCCTTTTTTTTTTTTCTCATTGCAGTAAGGACAGTAGAAGTTTGATTTATTTGTAAAATAAACATTCGCATTTTAATGTTTTAATTTGTTATATATAGATAGCGCGTTATTGCTTTGTATTGTATGTTTTATTAGACTTTTTATGTATTCTAAAGTTTGTATGTTGGTCAAATATATCATAATTTCATTTATATATCTAATAATTGTAAGACTGATTATCGTATTGTCACTTAAATTTCATGTAATCTTCTTTTATACCAATAAAAAATGATGTTTAATCAGACATTTTATACATTCGAAGTTTATGTGTGTTGGTCAAGTTTATCATGATCAAGTTCATCTATACATATAATATTTCTAAGACTATACGGGAATTGGAACATATCATCCAGCGTGAGTTGTAGTACAGGATTACTGTTCCTGCATTTCCCTCAGCCTCCTGATGGCACTCCTGACGGAGTGGGCGGCGTTGGTGATTGGGACATAGGCTCCACCAGAGACAGTCTTGGTGCAGGCGCGGCAGTGCCAGATTCCAACACACTTCCTCTTCAGGGCATTCTTGCCGCAAAAGCTGCAGGTGTATTTTTTGTGCTGGGAAATTTCGATCTTCTTGATCATTTTTCTCAGAGCACCATATCTAGTGCCGTACTTTCCGACGACTCCAACCTTCTTGGTGCGCTTTGCCATTTTATTTATGAAAAATGAAGTACAGATATTTTAACTGTGTTTATGAGCAAAAGACTATACGGGGACTGGAGAAAAACTATAAATTCTCTGTAATTCACTTCTTTAATATTATATAAAAGAAAATACGGTCGGTGTAATCTGTATATATGAAAATGGTACAACCCAACCTCCAATGAGAGACCACCTCCAGGAGAGACCAAGAATATCCTTGCTTTTGGACCGTTTTCCCTGGGAGTTGTGTTCTACTGAACTATATGTTCTACATATGGAAATATTTAAATTGGTGTCGAATTAGGAATAGTTAGCTTGATGAATAATATATCAATTAATATATAAATTCGTTTCCCGGTCGATGCAATTTTTGTACTTTGTGCTACAGTGCATTGCGACTCCTCTACTTGCTACATCCATTTTTGGGCTCGAAAATCATACAAATGGGTTAGTAGCCCGTAACACCGTATGCTCTCTCTATATATAATTCTGACCTATATTGTAAATATACTTATTGTATGCATATATGGAGAGTTAACATTAAATAAATAGGAACAGAGATACCTCCCGACAGGATGACAATATTGACTTAGATAACCGAAGTTCTAATAACCGTTATCTATAGCGGGGATTTCAAGAAAACATATTTCTGGGTTATCAGTTAGTTACTGGACCTTGGTTTGAACTTTCTGGGACGATTGCCATCCTACATTTGCTAAGTTCAGACTCTCTCCGTCTTACTTTTAACCACTTTTGTCTACTCATCTTCTTCTTCTTCTTCTGGGGGTCGGTGGAAGGATGGTCTAAACCGTTGGTTTTCGACTGCTACGACCCGGGTTTGATTCCCGCATTGGGCACATTTTTCTGATTAAAAAAAAATGTTCCAATGGCCCCTGATTCTTGCAAAAGTCCAACCCCACCAGGGGGTATTAGTATTATATATATTGTAGTAGGTTTTAAATGATCTAGATCTTCTGGATAACCAAGTTAAATGTCTGAAAAAAATCGTCGCTAGAAACAAATAGTACTCCATAGTGGCTACCCTCCCCTGTACTGACCGTTGCCATAAATATCGTTATTGGACGAGCATAGCATGGCTGTAGGTTGGTTTCATTCGCAGATTGTATCTGAGATAGGATTCTTATCTCGCCATTACTTATCTC